CCATAAGCATCTTGTCTAATAAAATGATAGAAAAACTACAATTGAAGATCACTGGACCTTTCAATACTATAGTAATAACTACAAATAGGACCCGAGTAAGGACATTAGAAAAAATCGTTAGTGTTAAAGTAGCCCTGAGCAGTATTATGATCTCAACTAACTTCCAAGTTATTGAATCTGCTAATGAGACTTTTCTTCTTGGAATGAATTAGTTCAAACGAACTTATGCCCATTTGCACATGGATGAAAGTAGATTATATATGCAATATCAGAACCAAGTTGCTGAGATTCTGATATCGTATGATAAAGATCATCCTCTTATTGAAATTGAAGAGAATAAAGATGATGGGATGTTTGATGAATTTGAATATGAAAATGAAGTATTGGATGAGACCGAAGGTTTCTACGTCAGCGAAGTATTAGATAGTAACCTCTTTGATAACTCTTAAAAAAATCATTATAGTTCTGCTTATATCTTTCACACATAGAGGAATTACCATCGAATGAACCCAATCTTGAGGAAGAGCTCCTGGAACTAAAGTTAAAAAAAAGTATGGATGAAACCCACTTAACCTTGGAACAAAAACAAGAGGCGGAAAATTTTTTAAATATTAAAAAAACGATCTTCACATGTGATACTAGCAATCTAGGCCAAACCAACCTGCACAGATCAAAATTAATATATCCTACACATATCCTACATATATCTGGTACGCAAATATATGTAGAATATATGTAAAATATATGTAGGATAGGTGTAGGATAGGTGTCCGATTATAAATATCAGGTACTAGATAGTTAACAAATGAGTACCCGACAGATATCAATAAAAATCTGTCATATATCTGATATCTACCATATATATATCATATAACTATCAGGTATTTGATATGTGTAGAGTTGATGCAGGATATCTTACACATATCCTACACATATCATATACATATCCTACACATATCATATATATATCATATATATATCCTACAGTTATAAATTATTTATATAATAAATAAAAACACTTTGAAACTATGTTTGGTACTAAGTAAACTAACAAAGTCGATTAAGACAATTTTGTTCTCCAGCCTAGACGATTCTAAAGGTGGTGAGATTGTTAAAAATGGCCCAGTAGATCTTTTTTATAGCCTCTCAAAGTTTTAAAATGATTAATTAAATCATGTGATTTTTACAAACAATTATTTTAAAACTTTGAGAGGCCATAGAAAAAGATTTACTGTGCTGTTCTTAATGATCTTACTACCTTTAAAACCATCTTGATCTGGAGAACAAAGTTGTCTTAATCAACCTAGTCAGTTTACTTAGTATGAAACATGGTTCCGAAGCAGTTTTTATTTATTTTTATATTTTTAAAGTTAAATAAAAAAGTGCTCTGAAACAAGGTTTGGTACTAAGTAAACTGACAAGATCATTTAAGACAACTTTGTTCTCCAGATCTAGACAGTTCTAAAGGTGGTGAAATTATCAAAAACAGTCCAGTAGATCTCTTTATACAGCCTCTCAAAGTTTTAAAATGATTGTCTAAATAATGTAATTTATGCAAATAATTATTTTAAAACTTTGAGAGGCTATAGAAAGAGATATACTGAACCGTTTTTAATGATCTCACCACCTTTAGAATCGCCTTGGTCTGGAAAACAAAAAGGTCTTAATTGACTGTGCCAGATTACATAGTACAAAATATGGTTCTAGAGCAGTTTTTTAATTTATTTTATTTTTTTATTTGGTTTTGTTTTTAAAAAACTTCTAATAACTAAAAATTTTGGT